AAATAAATAAATAAATAAATAAATAAATAAATAAATAAAAAACAGTATCCAATCCAAGCTCAATGTAGAATAGCAAGCGGGAGAGAAATCAAGCGAAAGTATACAGATACAAATGTACATTTATCCATCCAATGACCAATAGGTGTGGGCATGGGATTATAACTGATGCTACCCCTTTGTTCCCCCCAAAAATAACGCAGTTTTTCTTGTAAAGAAAAGCAGAAATAATGTTTACTCACATGAAGTGTTTTTCTTTCTTTTTAGAACAGCAGTTACAGTAGCAAGAAATAAACAGCAAATTTGAACTATTAACTGGTTTATAAGACTAGACCATACTTTATGCTCCCACATGTGCTTTTCCTTCATAGCATGGGGGAGGAGGAAGAGGAAGTGACGTCACAGAGTCACCGCCTCCTTCCACGTGTCCATCCAAGAACACAGCATCTGAGAGTTCTGACTGCCTTTTTCCCACAAGGAACATACATCACATCATCCTAGTATGCATATTTCATCATCTTCTTACATCAGCTTCCTTTCAGCTATAATGACACAGCATTATTTCTGCTGATTAATGTTCTGTATTGTAAGTTCTGATGTGAATTTCTACAAACATCAACAAGTCTCACTTCAGGGGGGAGAACGTTCCACAAGGAGGGAGCCACGTTAGAGAAGACCCACTTCCTGGGACCCACCAAATGGAAGTCCCTGGCCGTTGGATCGCGTAGCACACCTTCCCTGCCGGATTTAATGTGACGGGCTGATGTGATCAGGGAGAGACGGTCCCTCAGATAACCCCGATCGCATCAGCCCATCCCATTAGATCCGGCAGGGAAGGTGTGCTATGCGTTCCAACACCCAGGGACTTCCATTTGGTGGTTCCCAGGAGGTGGGTCTTCTCTAACGTGGCTCCCTCCTTGTGGGAAGATTACAGTGACGGGGAGGAAGGGAGGGAAGGTTGGGAGGTTAACCGTTAGGCGCAGATGGACTATTATCTGGCTCTCAGGAATGCCCAAGGTTGTACCAACATAAGAACTGGAGAGAATCTTCAACATGCGCAAGAGAGATTCGAAGACAGGTGGGGTGTGAAATGGGAATGAGATAAAACTAAGTTTTGGCATGCGCGGGACTCAGTTCCAGCAATGCTTTAGAGCTGTTCACTACTTTCCACTAAATGAACTTCTGTATTGTCGAACGTTAGGAACCAAAACTTTCAGAACACGGCCACACAGCCCGGAAGACCCACATCAGCCAAATGAACTTTTCTTTGAACCTGCCTTGGTTTCAATGAGAGGTGCTTTTGTTGGGACTGTGGTTCTTACACCTGGCCCCATGCCATGAAGGGTTTTAAAGGTCAAAAACACCATCTTGAATTGGGCCCAGAAGCAAATCAGCAGCCAATGCAATCTTTGTGGAAGAGCCTGGTGGATCTGTGCTCATATGTCCAGTGTAGGAACAACCAGCTCTCTGTCAGCACCAGCATTAACCTTGGAATATGGTACAAACCCTACTTCCTAGCTAAGCTTGGAAGTAACAAGACTGTACTTGTGACAGTCATACTGTTGTGGTTAGGAGGGCCTTTGCATGGCTTCATGTTGTGCACCAGTTGCACCTCTTTCTAGGTCAAGGGGCTTTGCTCCCAGTCACTCATGCCCTAGTCACCTCCCGATTGGACCACTGTAATGCACTCTACATGGGGCTGCCCTTGAAGAGTATCAGGAAGCTTCAGCTGGTGCAGAATGCAATGGATGGGCAGTTACGTGTGCCCCTAGAACAGCACATGTTACACCTCTGCTCCGCAAGCTGCATTGGTTGCCAATCTGCTTCCGGGTCCAATTCAAGGTGCTGGTTTTGACCTTTAAAGCCCTTCATGGCATGGGGCCAGATAATCTGAGGGACTGCCTCTCCCCGATTACATCTCCTGACGTGTCCCACCAGACCTGGCAGAGAGGGCATGCTGCGGATCCCATCTGTGAGGGAGCTACACTTGGCGGGTCCCAGGAGGTGGGCCTTTTTCTGCCGTGGTGCCCGCCTTGTGGGACCTTCTCCCTCTGGAAGTGAGGTGAGCTCCATCCCTGTTGATGTTCTAGAAGTCCCTCAAGACCTGGTTATATTATCAGGCCTGGGGATCCCAGGGGACCGGTGACCTTTTAAGATAGCTCCATCACTGTGGTTGATATTCACTCACTCCTGTCCTGTGTGGTTTTTATATTTTAATAATGATTGTTTTATATTTTTAATCATGACTATTTCTATATAATTATTGCTTTTAATTGTTGTACACTGTCCAAAGTCATTTTTTGTAAGATGGGTAGCCATGTAAATTTGTTAAATGAATAAATTAAATAAACAGTCACATGCCACAGTTACTGAACTCAAACTGTGTGACTCTGGATGGTATACAAATAAGACAAATACAAAAGCCATAATTAATACATAACTTATTAAAACATACTAAATAAAATGGAGAACAGATCTGAGTAGGTGTACAACTCACCCATTGGGGACTCCATTTAACTCAGCTCAGAGCTTGGAGGAAGAGCTAGAACTTAACCACCTTTTTAAGGGCCTGTAGGGCTAACTGTATGTCTGGGGGATCATTCCAAAGAGCAGGGGCCACCACAGAAGGCATGCCTCCTGGCTGCCATAAAATAACTGTTCCAATGATGGGAACTGGAGTGTGTTAGAAGATGTGGTATGGGCAGATACCCTTTGGAGTAGGTGGTCCTGCACGTTACCTGCCCCTATGCCATGTAGGGCTTTATGAATTGTACCTGAAGTCTATTGGGAATCAGTGCAGGTCACAGGTAGAGGTGTTATATGGGCATAATAAGAAACATTTAAAACTCCCCATGCGGCTGCATTCTGAATCAGCTGGAGCTTGTGGATGGTCTTCAAGGGCAGCTGCAGGTAGAGTGTGTTATAATATTCCAACTGGGAGGTGACTAAGGCATGAGTGACCATGAGCAGCCCCCCCCCCCACCAAATCAATGAATGGCTGCATGTGATGCCCAAGATGAAGCTGTGTGAAGGCCCTCCTACTCTTCAAGTAGGAGCTGTGAGTCCAGGAGGCCCCTTAGATTGTACATTCAGTGAGGCACTGAAACTCCATTCAGATTGAAGGGTGAAATCTCTTCAGTTCCAGGACCCCTAAGCCAGCCCAGAAGGTTACTCAGAAGAACCCAAAACAACCTAGTGGCAATAGTGGTGGAGTGTAGACAGTGG